GTGCCGGTGGTGGGCAGCCAGATGACGCGGCAGGCCCGGCGCCTCTACGTCGGCAACATCCCCTTCGGCATCACCGAGGTATTTGGGGGGGTGGGCAGGAGCGAGGCGGGGGGGGGGGGGAGGATTTGGCACCCGGCGCCATTTCAGGGCTGAGGGGTTGGGGACGCCGATGGAGGAGCCCCTCCTGCGACGAGACGGAGCCTTCAGCCCCCCGCTGCCTGGTGGGGGGTGCACCGCCTCCCCCTCACTTTTGTTTCTGTTGTGTCCCTCCCTTTTTTCTTTTATGCCCTCTCCCATTTTAGGAAGCCATGATGGATTTCTTCAATGCCCAGATGCGGCTGGGGGGGCTGACCCAGGCACCGGGAAACCCCGTCCTGGCCGTGCAGATCAACCAGGATAAGAATTTCGCCTTTTTGGAGGTAAAACGGGGTTCAAGGTGTGCTGGGGAGGGGGGCATGGTGCCCGCGAGGGGGTCGCTAAGGCATGTGTCCCCCCCCAGTTCCGCTCGGTGGACGAAACCACGCAGGCGATGGCCTTCGACGGGATCATCTTCCAAGGGCAGTCGCTGAAGATCCGTCGCCCCCACGACTACCAGCCGCTGCCCGGCATGTCGGAGAATCCCTCTGTCTACGTGCCGGGTGAGTGGAGGGGGCCCCAAAACCCCCAGGACCCCCCCACACCTTGATAGGGCAGCTGACAGGGGAGCACACAGTGCTGGGAACCCTCTTCATAGATTGGGGTTCCATTACCGTAGGCCGTTCTTTCTTTGAGGGGGGAACAAAATGGCTGTGGGCCCCCCTGGGGCTCCCCTCCCTTTTGGGGTGAGCTGGTTCCCCCCCCAACAAAGGGGATTTGGAAGGGGGTGGCTGCTGCAAGGTGCCCCCCCGTTTTTTGGTATGAGCTATTTTGTTTCCAAAATGTATTTGTAGATAGGGGAGTAGTTTTGGGGTGCCCCTTTTCCGGCCATACCGGAGCTCCCCCCAGTGCTGGTTTGGTCCTGGGGGGCCCCCCCATGCCCCCCCAACTCACAGCCCTGTCCTCCCCACCCCAGGCGTCGTCTCTACGGTGGTGCCTGACTCCGCTCACAAGCTTTTCATCGGGGGTCTCCCCAACTACCTGAATGATGACCAGGTGAGAAGGGGGGATGACCCTAGAGCCCCCCCGCCAACTTGGGGGGGGTGTCACAGTGGAGGAGGAGTGGGGGAACCCCGTTTCTCTTCTCAGCTGAGTTTTCCGTTGATGGGGGCAGGAATTGGGGGAAGAGGCGGGGAGGCAGTGCCCAGGATCCCCATGGTGTTTCAGGGTGGGATTCCCAATGCCGTGGGGGGGGTCCTGGTGTTGGGGGGGGATGTCCTAGAGCTGCCACACACCCCCAGTTGTGCCCCCCCCCCAGGTGAAGGAGCTGCTGACATCCTTCGGGCCGCTGAAAGCCTTCAACCTGGTGAAGGACAGCGCCACCGGCCTCTCCAAGGGCTACGCCTTCTGCGAGTACGTCGACATCAACGTCACCGACCAGGTACCTCCAAAACCCCACTTTGGGGACCCCAAAACCCCCGTGACCCCCCCCCCCGGGTATTTCTAGGGCTTTTTGTGCCCAAAACGCCCCTAAAATATGCCCCAAAAGTCAGTGGGGAGATGCTGCTAAGTTTGGGGACCCCCCTGATGGTTTTGGGGACCCCCTCCCCAGCCACTCGGGATGCCCCGGGGGGGCTGCATGCATCATTTCTGCTTCTCAAATCATTTGCCTTTTTGGGGGGTGGTAGGCAGAGCCAGGTCCCTCCAAAATTCTGCTCTAGGACAAAAGAGGTGAACTCCATACTCTGAGCATCCCCCACACCTGCCACCGCACCCTCAGGGTCTCTCAGGGTGCCCCAAACTTGGTTGGGGGTCCCCCAAACCCCGTGGTGACCCCCCTGTGTCCCCCCCCGTGTCGTTTTCCCTCTCCAGGCCATCGCTGGGCTCAACGGGATGCAGCTGGGTGACAAGAAGCTGCTGGTGCAGAGGGCCAGCGTGGGGGCCAAGAACGCCACCCTGGTGAGTGGGT